AACTTTTCCTTCTCTTTTTTCTCCCCCACCTCAGGGAGATGCATATGTGTGTACATAACAGTTTCAACCACATCTGATAATGAGCTTCAACTCCTAAAGATATCCCCTTCCTAGAGAGTCCAAGGCAATAGATGGCCAAGTATTTCTACCTGAAATAGTGGCCGTACTTGGGCAGAAGCGATGACTGTGATGCCACCAAGGGGAAGGCTGCTAAGCTCAACCTTGGCAGAGAATCCCTAATTCTCAAACCCAAATTTCATTAATTTTCACAAGGTGCTTCGCCAGTCTTTGTGGGAAACCACCAGCAGGTGTAAAAGCTCTGTTCTAAGAAGTTTAGGGCTGTTACTTCCGATATTGGCTTAATTTAATTTCTGAAGTTTCCACCTTTTTCTGTGTTTCCACCCTGAGGCCGACTTTGATTTTGGCAGGTGCTTCTTTTATTGGTTCCATCATGGATCAAGAGTTAAAATTACACACTTTTGGAAAGTCTCATTTGACAACAGAAATACTACTTTGGCATGGGACTTTAGCTAGTGTTCAGGACTTTATCAGACAGCTAGGAGAGAAAACAGATTATTTAAATTGGGCATGGTATTTGTTAGAAAAAGAATCCTAATTTTTCTCACCCCGTGTAAGACTGGAAGAGAACCAAATTCCATGCAGAATAATGTTCTCAATGTTGGCTTTGGAAAAAAAAAATTCAAACTTACAAAACATTTTATTTAGATAAAAATAAAATGTTAAATTTCAAAATTCGCAACTTAATTTTAGCTGCTACATGTAATACAATACGGCAGTAAAAACATCCACTGTTTGCCTAACACCATGCCTCCTGTTTATGTGTATTTCATTATGTTCTGTATTTCATTATGTTTTTATTTGGCATTTTAAAATAAAGGGTTCGTGATTATTTTTAGCTTGCGTATAGAATGTGGCGACTGGTAACGTAATAACATAATTACTACTGAAATGGTTAATTAGCATGTAACTGATAATTGGTATCCTAATTGCTTCATTAATAGGGACTTTGTTCATGGGTAATTGGTAAATTTGTTATTTGGCTAAGTGGTACAATGGAAGCACCAAAAAAGTGCATGGAGTGGGGGGGATGTCACCGCTTAGCCCCCAGTTGTGTACCCAGGCAGTGATGGAGGAGCTGGCAGCAGGCAGGGGCCAGGCCTCCCACCTCCTGGGAAGGTAGGAAGGAAGCAGGAGGCCGCTGAGCCTGGGCACCCCTGTGAAATGCTCCACGTGCCACTGAACCCACCCCCCACCACCACCCGCAGACACCTGGGGGGCAGGTACCACCCCCGGCCGGTGCCCTGCGCGTGGGTGCTGGGTGCAGTGGCTGGGTGGGCTGGGGGCGGTGGAGGAAGACGGCTGGTCCCAGCACCGGTGCCCAAACCCCAACCTTCAGGGCACTGCCTTACTGCCAGAGGCAGGTCTTGCTGCTAGGGCAGCAGGGCAAGAGCAGGAGACTCCGGTGCCATGGCTGAAGGATAAGAGAGCGATCGGAAGTGCCTTCTCACATATCCCAGATGCACTTGTGAGGCAGGGGCTATGCCCAGGGATTTTGCACTGCGTGGCCTTGCTAGGGAATGTCAGAAGTCTAAAATTACAAAAGGAAGAAAGGTCCCTGCCCCGAAGTGCTCACTGGCTATGTAGACATGGGGTGGGAGGGAGAAGGGGCAAAAAATAACACAGCAGACTAAAGGTAGCATGGGAAATAAAGTACATATTTTTGTGTCTCAGCCCAGTGCTTTATGTCTGCTGCCCAAGTTTTTTAAATGATGTTGAGACACTGGGACTGTGAATAATTGTTTTTTAAAGCAGGTTAACAGGTGGGTTTATGTCATATGTGTATGAACAGGACAGAGGAGAATCCACTTCTCAAACAGTTACTCTGAAAAGGACATGAAAGCAGTCCATCCCTCCCATCTCAGTGCATATCAGTTGCATTATCATTGGTATTTTCATAACCAGTCAGGCTCAGACCAATTCATGGGGATTGAAGGAGCCAGGGCCAGCCAGAGATGCAGGCACAGTGATGCCACCTGACAGCGTAAGAGCATCACCATGTCCTTCTGGGACAGCACCGCAATACAGTGACACAGACCTTGCCCGTGTCTAAGGCCTCGCAAGCAGAAAGGCTGGTTTGCACCTCCTTCATCCACCTTGCTAAGTCCCTTCATCGGCACATGAAAGCACAGATAAGTGCTCAGCCTACAGCAGCAGGCTGTCTTTGTCACTCAGCTTGATGCTGCAAAACCACAAAAGCCTGGAGTGATAGAGCAACGGTTTTAGGACTGTTCGCTATAGGGGGTCCAAACTGAGGAACATCAAGCCTCATTTTCCTGGGCAGTCCCAGCGGTACCTACACGTGTGGTCCAGTTCAGAAGAGGACCGTGCTTTTAAAGCGCGTCTCCCAACTGCTTAGCTGCTGTGCTTTGGGTTGGCTCATGGAGCGGTCTCAGAGCACACAAATGGGCTGGGCACCACGCCTTTCAGCCCGTGGGCAGCCTGCGGGGGACAGCGGCACAGAGCTGCTGCTTGCCGCTGGTGACAGGGGCAGGTCTGAGAGGGATGAGGCAGGCAGTGTTAGAGCCGTCCTTAGCCTGGCACGGCCAGGATGCCTCAAGGACAAGCCCGGAGGGGGAGGAGAGGATGGAGGAGAGGGGAAGCCCTACCTCACTTTTGTACCTGGGGACACTGTCTGGATGCTATCACAGTTGTTCCCCTGACTTGTTTCCTACTGGTGTCCATTCACAATCAGAAGGTAGCTAGAAAGCAAGAGTAACAAAAGCAATGTGCCCTTTTTGTGTCTATCTCAAGGATGGCATGCTCCAACTCATGCACAATTAAGTAAATCCCCTCTGGAGAGGAGACAAGGAAATGACACTTTCAATTTAGGTAAAAGGGAATATGACTTGTGGTTCCAGTGGGTGTCATGGGTGGGATGCTTGTCACAGGCACCAAGAAGAATTAGGGAATAAGATTTCTTTACAAGTAGTTCTTTCGACACTTCACATCCAGTTCTTGAACAGTGAGGTCCCTAAATCAGCGTTTTGGAGGACCTCAGGCCCTAACCAGGCCTCTAAATGTGCACTTTTCACTTACTAAGGACCCAATAATTCCAGTAGGACTACTCATGTTGGGTTATGCTCCAGGTATACATTTATTAAGGACAAAAGCTAACACTAAAAGAGAAAGGTTTACCACAGTGTGAAATGCTAATAGAGATGAGTCAATATTATTTTGTGTTGTATTCTCATATGAATATGTACTGCATATGCAAGGATTTTTCTTCATCTGTGCAGTCTGAATCTGCCATATTTTGCATCTAACAAACCATATAGGCTTCTTTCTGGGGGTATACGCTGCTTCTTATATCAAATTTTCAGACTTCTGCTCTCCACGTGATACTGGTAACATGATGTGCCCCACCACTCATCTGCCTCAGCAAGGAGAACATCCAGACAGCTGAGTTAGACTCCACTGGCCATGTTCATCTTCACACAGTTTTTGACTTCACAGAGTTTCCCACTGCATTAGGGGGAAGGAAAACTGTTCCAGGGGGGATGATGCGGACTGTGGGGTATCTCAATTTCAGAGGTGGGCAAGGAAATGCGTGCCGTCATCAGAGACTGACACATTTGTGCTGTTCAGCCCCATCTGACGACGCCAGCATTCACTCCCAGCCTCGTAGGTACAGCTACGTGTGAGCAATTTAACAGTCTTGTACTGACAAGCTTGTTCCTGCGGTAAAACTCTGCATGTGCATGTGCAGGGAGGAGGAGGGACGGGTAAGAAACCAGATGGGTCAAAACAGTCTTCGCTTTCTGCTGTTCCACAGCCTTCCCCAGACGAACCCTTGCTGCCCTCAGTGCGCCTGCACACACGCATGCACACACGCATGCACATACGCATGCACACACGCATGCACGCACAGATGCACACATCTTCCCTTGACTGTTCCCGTCTCCCTAGGCCGGCTGCAGCCCTCACTTTCCACTGCTCCTGTGCCCCCGTTTGTCTTGCCATGGCAGCAGGGTGGTACCTGTCCAGCCTTCTGCTCTGACCTTCATTTCAGCCTGCGTGTTCACATAACACCACACGAGCAATTTTGGCTTTCCCCCACAGTCCCTTCCGTTTCCCTGAAGGGTTGCTCACCCTTGGAGGGGGTGATGGTGTTGGTGTCAGGCTTAACGCAGGTTCCTCAGGGGTTCGTCAGTAGGGCCAGCACAAAATGGAGAAGCGGGTGCACAAAGTGGGAAACTATGGCAACTCTAGAAACCAGTTACTCCTAAAAATACCTCACCCTGAAGCGACATTTGAGGCGTCATTTATTCGTTCCCCCCTCCAAGGCCTGGAGCTGGGCAGGCTGAGCGTGGTGGACCTCGCACAGGCTGCTGTGCTGTTGGGCGCCAGGCAGCACCTTGCACACTGCCGGGATTGGGCCTGCCTGTCAGAGAGGCTCGTGGGGGGGTCCAGAGGTCCTCCTTCTCCCATAACCAGACAGATGGGAGTTCAGCCCCCTTCTCCACCGAGGGGATTTCAAGACCACATCTTCCGTGAGGCCACACACTCACCAGGGAGGGAGGAGATAGTTTCTACCACTAGTCTCAAAGCCCAGGTGTTGGCTCACTCTCCATGCTGGCTCTAGGCAGCTCTTTTCTCCACATCCCCATCCCTCTGGACCCTTTTTGGCAGTGCCTGGCTGGCCCACACACGCACACAGGGCCCGAGCACCCACTCAGTGCTGTGAGGGAAGGAACCATGATGTTCAAGATGAGCAACGTCCTGACCAGAAGCCGCTAGCTGCACGGTTGCAGCCTGCCCGGCCTGATGGGACCGTGGTTTTCCAAGATGCCTTTTGATCAGCCACCTGGAAGTCCCTGCTGGTGCTGCCGCAGGTTGGGTGTGACACCGCGGGGCAGCGCCGGGGCAACAGGTGCATTGTGAGCTCTGCAAGCACCCTTCACGGGCCTCGAGAGGCCAGCATGCAGCGCTTCGCAAATCTGCTTCTGAAGCACATAATTCACAGGGGCTGCTTTGATGCTGCTTCAAAGAGGCAGTGCCTGCAGTATTTAAGAGCTCTGAGGACACTGCAGCTTAACGGTTTCAACACCATTTTTTTAGGGGAAACAGATATTCCAGAAAGTCTTATACAGGAGAAAAAATAGCCAAGGAGGCCAGCCTACGCTGGCCAGTATGGACACTTGTTCACGCTGGCAGCAGCCAAGGGTGGGTGCCCTGGAGGTACAAGCTGCTATTAAGAGGTGACCTGCCCATCCATCAGCAGAACGGTATCTTTCAGGAGTTGTGTGATTCTCTGACCACCTCCTATGGGAAGTGTGTAATTGTGACGAGGAATAAAACACAGCCGATGCGGGTGGGGGCAAAAGATGGCAAGGAGCCGGAGATGGGAACTCTGCTGCCAGTCCCACCAGCAATCTACATGTCCAGCATTGAGTGTTGCCCTGAAGTTGCTAGAGCAAATGGCCATGAGCTTCTTGTTGTGCCTTCGTCTTACAACTATCTCTATCCTATGGATGTTGCCTGGTCTTCTTTGAAATGGTTTATTATAAACAACAGGAAGGACTTTGCCCTGAGGTCTATTGAGAGGGACCACTCCTATAGCCGTATCCTCTTCAGTGACTTGATTGTTGAAGGAATAGAGAAGATGACCCCAAACAAATGGAAGGGAGCAATTAACAGAGTGAAGAGATGGGAGAACTACTACCTTGACACACTTTCTTAAATGGTTCTTCCTGCAGTCAGGCCTCAAATGAATTTTGGCTGGTATTGAATGAGTTACCCTGCTCCAGCTCTGCTGAGCCCTTTCCTTCAATGGGCGTAAACCTAAAGAACCACATGTCAATCGCACTAATAAAAGAGATCGTTTTAAATCCGAACGTTTCATTTTAGGTGTATTCCAGGACCAGGTTGACATGTGCTATGCTTGTGCTGTGAAGGGACAGTTAATTTGCCTTATCACAAAAATGGGCCAAAGCATGCCTAAGATCCAGTTTAGCCGTCCTTCTGCATAAATTCTTCTGTCATGGGAGTCATGAGACCATGCTATAGATGTAAATGCCCTCAATTTCAAGAAAGACTGGGCTGCAAAATGAATTCTGCAGGTCATGCCTGTCTTTGACCCAAATGGGAGATCTGCTCCTGAGCAGGGAATATGCTGGACCATGACTGATGCCAGAGTCCACAGCTTAAAGAAGTCTAAAGAATTTAATGCGACTTTCCCATAATATGCACATTAACATCTGATATCAGCTCAGTAGTTCATTACACCAAGCACCTTGCTTCCAACAGTGGTCTGCAATAAACATTTCAGTGACAGGTAAAAGAAATCTTTCTAAAAGCGAAGTTCCTTTTCTGAAGCCTAACCATTAGTAGTTGGTTCAGGCTTTAAAGCCTGAAGAGTTCAGTCTCTCAGGATAAAATATGGCACTCATCACTGGAGATTTTCTTTATCCGTGACATCGATTACTGAGATGTAGTGATTTCTCATGGAATTGAGTTCAAAAGGTGATTTATGAGTGATGCAAAGTAGTACTTCTTAACAGCAGTTTTTTCAAGTTCATTGAACACTTTCTTGTTTTTTTGAAAGCGGCTTCCAATTTACATTCTCTGTGTTGCTCATTACTAGGTATGTGTTTATTGTGTACTTCTAAGAGAACTAAGACCATAAAAACATAAAAGAAATGAGATGATTCACAGGTTCACTAAAACATTTCAATACACTGAGTCAAATTTGTGCAGTTTTTCTGCTGTGTGTGGAAAGCATCTAAACGAGCATTGTAATTTGGTGTGGCAGAGAGATATCCAAAAAGAGGAGTCTCATCTATCTTCAGAAGAATCCATGCATGTAATTCTCTAGAGCTGAGATTTGAATATACAAAAAAAAATAACCACCTTTCCTCAGCTTCATATTCATCAGCAAAAAAACCTGCTCAATTTTTACAAATATGGATGTAGCAGAGAATGGACAATTAGGTATTTAGAGTGGGGGAAAAAGGGGAGAGACTGGAGAGGGACAGGAATGTTTTTATTGTCCTGATATCATGGCTCTGAACAAAATTTCACATCGGCTTGAAGCAGCAGTTGCTCCACTAAATATCGATGAATATGAAGTGGTGTGAAATCAGCACGAGGAAAGAAATAGGTCCGGTGCCTCTTTACCACAAGGACAGGCAGTAATTGCACAGTAGTTTGGTTTTCTTGAGAAACAAATGATGCACGCCCCATTTTCCCAATGACTGTTTACCTTCACCCGGTGACACTGCACTGTACTACTGGGGAGAAGTAACAGCCCCACCGCAGCTCAGCCTTACCGGTCTCTGCTGCCATGGCTTACGCAGCTGCGGGTTTAGGGCCGCATTGCAACACTTCTTCATTGTTAGGGTGTGTCTTCTGCCATCCCTAATTCGCAGTGGAGTCCATGGGACCAGGTACAGAATCACCTGCTTTCTATCCATTTTAGCAACGAGGAAGTATCAAAAGGAAGTAGTTTGTGTCACAGGAATTTATCAGTCTTTCCTGGTTCGTATTCTGTGGTAAAACGAGGGTGAAGCCTCCATGAAGGGTTTCATGGAAACAAGCACGAGGAAAGAGGAAGCGTTTAGTGCCGCATCTCCCAGAGAGCGAGGGAAAAATATCCCTTCCCTGCAAAGGGCTGGGAAAGCCTCGCTAAACACCTTCACTCTTCCCAGCCTCCCAGCTGTGAGGTTGAGGGCTGGCGAAACTTTTTTACCCAGTCCTATTTAATGTGTATGGAAACCTGTGGGCAGGAAAAAGAACCGAGTCTGAGATCGAATAAACTTCGGTATTTTATATAAAATCCTCTGAAATGAGTCTTCTTCTTTCTTCCTCCCTCCCCCTTTGCTGCTGCAAAGGGTAATTACAACCCATGTTTTCTACAAAACGTTGTAACCCTTTGTACCAAAGAAAAATATTGTGGCTCATACAGTTCTGACTCAACTGGTAATTTAGGATGACAAGCAATTCCTTTAACATATGACTAAACAAGCTAATCGGAGGATGTTACCAAATAGCATGCACCTTATTCAAGAGCACTTGAAATAGCATGCATGCGTCTAATATTTTCTTGGTAGGATTTTAAATACCTATTATTTTATTAGGTTTGTGAGCAATAGCTCAGTACACTTGACCATTGCAGGAAGTCAAAGCAAATCTCTTTGTTCCCACTCACGACTCTCTTTGTGTGACTGAAATGCACCACTAGGATAAAATGATTAAAGTATCTTTGCATAAAGAGGAGAGGCAGATGCAAATGCATAAGTTGATGAAGAAGCTATAACAGATGTCCCTCTGCTCTAAGCTAGCTGGAATGCAAATCACCTGAATTTTCATGATGTCTCATTGACTAATTGCTTCTAAATGCTTTTCCAAGTCTCGTCTTCATGGAAAAAAACATTTATTTGCCTCCAGCTCATGAAGCGGGCTGTAATGATAGGCTCAACACAGTTTTTTCCCTATTTTCAAGTCCTCTGCCCTAATAGCATGCTGCAACCCAGGGTACAGAGGGAGAAATGCACTTGGCGCAAGAGCCTACAGAGGCCCAAGCCAGGGATGTAATGATGGGACACAAGGTGTGAGCTTCTGTGACTGAGCAGGCAGAGTGGGGCCCATTTTGTGCCATGCCTGAGAACGGGGAGAAGGCTGCCCAGGTAGTGGAAAGGCAACCAGCATCGCTCGAAGCCCAGCCTCTGCCTCTGTGAACTTGTTCCTTGAAATTTCGTTCTGCAGCGAGCATGTGGAGGAGGTACGGAGAGAAATGCACAGAGGAAAGAAGGAGGGATACGGGAACAATATTCTATGTAAGAAATGCAAAATAAGAAAACTGTTTTAGGAAACAAATACATGTAAGGGCCAGACTCATTTATAGGACTTAAACTGCACTTAACTGTCAGTGTCTGACATTTCTTGCTGGCTAGCTCTAAGCCTCCTCAAATCAATGAGAAATACTAAGCCAGGAAATTAGCCTGAATTTAGGCCAGAGGAATATGAGTCACAGCAAATCAAAAGAGCCGTAGGACTGGGAAAGTGCCACACCATCAGAAGCTGAGGCATTGGAAAACGAAACCAACCAATATGAGGAAGTCTGGGAAAAAAGACTAATAAAAAAGGATAGTCACCCAATCTAGTGATCAATAGGAAGCAGCTATATACATTCTCTGCTCTGCGACAGCCATCTCAAGAGCCTTTGGATAGACTGGAAACAGTCTCATGGTGAGGCATAGCCTTTGATGATGGTACACATGGACATTTTCAATAGCTCTCTCATCAGATTCAAAGAGGGAGAAATTGATGCCATATGGAGATACACATGAATACATGCCTAATCACTCAAACAAACTTTCTCACTACAGGAACATATGAGGAGTCCATTGCTATGGGGATAACTGTTCTGGTAACTAGCAGGTATTTCTGTTACCAGCTGGAGAAGGGCCAGCTGATGCTGTGATTATCCCCGAGATTGGTACACACATATGCCAGTCAAGGTTCAGCTGAACCTAGGTGACATGCTGGGCTTGCTCCAGTAGCCAAGACAAACCAGCTTCAAAAGCCAAAGCCAAACTGTGGAGTGACGTGTGTTGTGCGTGAACATCCAGCCACCTCTGAGTCCCCAAACCAGGAGCCACTTACACCCAGCCTACCTGAAAATGGCTTTTGGCACATGTCCGGGGGGTAACGTAAACTCAGGTTTGAGAAATTTTACCAGATCTGTCTCCACACACTCATGTGGGTTGTACATTTGTTTGTTTTCCACGTGATCAGGAGCACGTTCAGACACGAGACTGTCACAGGATAGTCAGCTCCTTCATGTGAGGTCTCTCAGCTCCTCCCTAAACTTGACTTGAAGGCTGAGGTTAGTACATAGTTAATATATAGGGAGAGGATGCAGCAAGTTGATGCATCTTCGGAAGCAATTTTGCAAAGGCTGTGAAGAACTGGTGAAGGCTGAAACAAGAGAGGTTTGCTTCAGCTTAGTCCACTGGTTTCTCCTGTGACAGAGATGGAAAAGGGGCATTGAGAGTTTGCCACAGTGCTCCTCTTTGGCCAGAGTTGAGGCCAAGGCGTTGACAGTCAGTAGGTAGGCAGAGACGCTGACTGAGTGTCACAGGTTAGAGCTGGGATCAAGGAGAACCGTGAAGGACTCTACCCCAGATAGAACATTTGCAGTGCCTTTACTGAGAAGAGCAAGAAAAAACAGCTGGAATTGCTGATCCCCAAGAGGAAAACTGAGGAAGGAAATTTTGGAAACAGTTGTTTGCATGTGAGGCTCTTGGAAAAGTTGAAAAATATTTAGCTCCCTGACTTGCAGCACAATGGCTCGAGAGCAATCATCTCTCCTGTCCTGGGGTGCTGCTCAGGGAGCTCTGCCTTCCTCCAGCACCAGTGTTGTTGTGTTTCTGGTAAAAGTCTTGTGGCCTTCAGACTAAAAGCATTCAGTGGTATTAAAATCAAGCTGAGTTCATTTCAGCCAAAGTCTAAAATGGATAATGAGAAAACAGTCCTGTTGAATGCTTCTTCACTTATTTTTCACTTCAAGGACCACAGATACCCACAGCCACTGAGCTCCCTCAGGCTGGAAGAGTCTTATTCCAGCAGCCACTGAAGTCGTCTCAGAACCTGTGAGAGTTTATTTTTTTTCCCTTAAAATCCCAACAGCTCCTTTCTTTATTACTACACACGGATTTCGGCTTTTGTTTGAAAACACAC